AGCCAATATTCTTCGACTGTAGGTAAGTTTGTCGTATCACCAACACATCGTATTACTAAAGACATTTGTTCCTCGTTACGAAATATGTAGAAAAAATTATATTCCTCGATCATCAATCCCGCTAGAATTGTCATTGTGGAGACTTCAATTTTTGATATGTTCTTGTATGTATATGGATTTTATTATCTCAGTCAAATTTTCTTAATTTTTGCTGAACATTTGCTAAGTTGAATAAGTTCTGCAAATCACCGTGCAACCGGAGAAAAATTGCTCCTTCTTGCTGAAATTTTCTTGAAGTCTCTGCAAAGTCATTTTTCCACAAGTCTATATTGTCAAAATATGAAGTTCTTCCTTTATTTATAAATATGTCAAATTGCAAAAAAAATTCGTGAATTGTTTATATGACGGTTAATGTTAAGAAGCTCATTTTTAGTAACGCATTGTGTTGCTAGAATTTGATGCATTACATCACCAAAGTAACAAAAAAATGTCATATGGTTTGCACAACCTTCTTGCAAAAATTACATTCTCATGCCTCGTCCACGAACCTAGTACAAGTTCAGGTGAAAGTGGCAAACTCCGCTGTTTTCAGGTGGATAAAGCTAGTAGACGAAGTCACTTGACTTGGATAATTAATCTATCTATTATTTGGATCGTTGGAAACGGGTTGACGATCTGTTTCGAAGGAAAGAAATATCCATCATATCTCTAAATATTAGCATAAAATTTTTGTAATCAAGATCTAGAAAGATAATCTCCAATATGTTAATTCAGTTTAGGACTATACCAATGGAGGTGTGCTGCATGTGAAATAGGGTTTACAACATCTTAATCTAATTCAATGAGAAAACTTCCCTACAAGTAAACATGCATAGGTAATAGTAAAGGTACATAATTTTCTCTAAACCCTAAGTCAAAACTTTGCCCGCTTGTCTCTGCCATATTTTTCAATGCTCATTATTCTCGTGTTTTCAATTTTCAGCAATTGACTTGACCGTAGAAGTACAAACAGTTGTCGACCATTTTCTATGGAATGCGATCTTGATGCCTATTAATTTGTCTAATTTGTAGGTAACATACAGACAAGCAGTGAGGTGGAAAGAGATCTATTTACGACAAAGTCGTTTTGATTTTTTAGGTTAACAAGCTTCAAGCCTATTTTTTAGTGTTCTTGTTTGAATTCTACACCAACCTTCGTTGTCACTAGCTAGTTGCATAATTCATTAACACCATCCTTCGTTTGGAAGGTGCATTTAAAACTCCTCTTTGATGGGCTTTGAATCTAGTTAGCATTGGTATCGATCAAAGAAATTGAGGTAGATATACTAAAATAGGAAAATTTTCAGGATTCTCATGTACACTTTCTTTACAACACTTCTTTGAAAAAACAAAAAATATTCTTTATGAACTAAGTGATGCAATTTCTCAATGCTCAAATGCAACATTATTAAAGGGATACCTCTATTAAGTCGACAAATTTCTTTGAAGTTTGTCTCACGAAATTGCTAAGTTAAAGTTCAATACAGTTTAATGAAGAAGCAGAAATGGTGTACTGATGTAAAGTTTAAGCTGAGACTTTATATTGATGTTGAAATGATATCATAATACTTTGTTTATTACACACTATATATAGACATTTTGGAGTAGGGAGCAAGTAAGAAAAGATACAAATTACATGTGCAATCCAAGGGAATCAAATATAGTTATAATAGCAGCTTATTATAGAACCATAGGTGCACAATAGCATTATGCCAAACTGACTCCAATTAGCACTCCCAGTAGCACGTGAATTGAGCTTCACCACAGGCATGAGGTGATCATTTTAACATCCTCCCTCAAGTTGGAGTTTATTCCTTAACTCCAAGCTTGTCTTTAAAGAAGAGGAATCTGTTTTGTGAGAAAGGTTTGGTTAGCAAATCTGCAATTTGATCATGGAACGTATTGAATTTTCAAATTTACTTCAAGTACCTCGTCCTTTACAAAATGTATATCCAACTCAATATGCTTAGTTTTAGCATGGTACACTAGATTTGAAGCCAAAGTAGTCGCACTAAGATTATCACACCAAAGTACAAGAAGTGAAGTTGGGTGTAAATTGACTTCTTTGAGCAGAGATTCAATCCAGGTGATCTCAGAGGCTGCTTGTGCTAAGGCTCTATACTCTGACTCTGTACTGGACCTAGCCACGACTTGTTGTTTCTTTGAGGACCAAGCAACTAAAGTATCTCCCAAGTAGACACAATACCC